TACGAGCAGCTCGTATTGCAGCCGAACACTGATCTGGTTAACGTAACAATTCGTTAATCCGGCACTCTTTTGAAGCATTGTCGCTAAAATCATACACGAAAACAATAATATTTCATTGTGAAAGCAATAATATTCTGAAAATTATGTTTTGTTTTTAGCGATTTTTTTCTAAAACGAAGCAAAAACGAACATATCTCTATATAAATTAAAGGATTATTTTTCTTAATTTATCGATTCTCTACGATCTCGAAGTTTGGCCATTTAAATCTGGGACACCCTATATATATATATATATAGTGAATTTTATTATATAATAATAGAAAGGTATTATTAATTTGATGTCTATACTATATTTCCTTAGAATATAATGAAGCATTTTGCGGAAAATGTTCCGTCTATTTTCTATTTAGTCTAAACATCTTTTCTAACTCGCAATAGCTCGTGACGAGAAATAGATACGTGATATTCCATAGATAGGAAATGCTAATAATATTCATCGTATGTTATTTTCATTGTAGAATACTAAAAATATATATATATAGTGTGCGCTTTACATTGTTGCTCTCACGAGTCTTTTTTCTTTATCTAATCTTCTCGGGTCATTACGTGGCAAGCGTAATCGATTTGTCCAGAGCTGTGCATCATCACGTTTCATAAAAAGATCAGCTGACGCAAGCCGTGTATCGGAGCCAAATAACAGTTTAGACGGCCAGACAGACAGAACCGAGCGAGCGAGTGACTGCAAGCTCAATTAAGAGATTACATACCGATAAAGACTGCGAAAAGACCGATTAAAATTAACATTCTTCATATCAGCAAACCTCACTGGATATTTTAACAGTTATGCACTCGTTTCTCAAGTTGTTCAAGCTCTCACCGACCACCCAAGTTCGTCGCCAACGTGCTCGATCTCATGTGGATTCGATTCGATTTAAATATGAAACAGACGGGTCTATTTGGACTGCTACGCTACAAAAAGCAGTACAGAATGTCGACAGCGAGTAAGAACACAGAAACTTATTAAAGTAGAGTGCGATACGTGTAGTCTCTTGTACGACGAGCATCCTGAAGAACGATATTATCTCATCCTTTGAAGTCGGCGTACTCTAACGTACTCTACGTTAATACGCGCGTGACTCGTCTTTGATCTCTGACCGAGTGAGTAATTAGATGCATCGAGCATGCACGAAATTGCGTACGCTTACGGGCACACTTGGTAAAAGTTATGTGCAAAGACTTTTCCCTGCCGCCCACCGACAGCGTTCGCGAGCGTTCGCGAGCGCGTGTGCGTGTGGCGTGCAGGCACGCATCTTCTCGTTCCTATATCGCAAAGAGTCTTATCAGATCCACCCGATTTATCGCCGTAGCCCTGCCATTTTGCGTAACTTGTATTCTTCGCGTAATCTGTCTGTCGGGAGATCTTCCGCAGACCTGGAATTAGCGCCTTGGCTTCTTCGGAACAGCACGTGCTCTACGGCACGAGGTATCGAACACCGACATTTAAATTCGCCCGTCGGGACGCAGAATTAAATGAATCGTATAAGACGTGGTGATCGGCGCAATTAGTTTTTACGACCTTCATTAGCGATGCGTAAGTTTTAATTATTATTCACAGAAAAGTATTCCAGGAGCAGAATATTCAATGGTAATTATAAAGTCCAAGTCGGCCAAGTGCGTTAATCTCATTCTTCGGCCTCGTTCCATGTTTCAACTTATTAGTGAAGCTTCTTTCACTTCTTTTGCTTTTGCTTCAACGACTTTAAGACATATATATACGTTCAGTAAGGACGTTACTTAATACATTTTTGCTAATTTTGTTAATGCTGAACCCTTCATAACCTCAATTAAAGATGTGACTCTTTCTGCTACATCTTTTTATACACAGCACGATATATTTTATCACTATACGTATAAAAAAAAAACGAAAATATTTTTCAAAGGAAACATTTCCTGTTTTATATTTTTATATTTACATTCATGCAATGGACAATAATTTTTACATTGATTGTAACTTTCAAATTTATTAATCTTAATTTAATCTTTTTATTTACAAATTAAGAATTTTACATCAATTACCGCTTTTAAATCGCCCTTAATTTTTTGATTTATACATTAATAATAATTAAACATATGGCAGTTTTACTCGCACGTTGTCATGGAACGAAATTATATATGACGAATTGCGTCCCTGCCCGCACACGTGGTGCGCGATTGCGGTGGCGAAGGAGGCAGGAAAAGGGGGTTCGCGTAACGCAATTATCCGTATTAACATAGCCGGCCCGGTGGTCCGCATCCGCGGTAGCGTGGCGGGACGTACGCAGGATCACTTTAAGGTAGTATGCGATATCTCAAGAGGTAGTACAAGGTAAACGCGGCCGGCACAACCAACGCGCTCCGTCCTCGCAACGATGCAATTTCGTCCTGAAGCCTATTATCCCCGCCAGAGCGCGACGGAAAATTGATAAAGTGGAGTGAGAGCTACCTGCGCCAGCTAGCAAGTCTCGGGGGTCGTGCAAGTTGCTCCTGAAAGATTGAAAGCCTCGGTACTCGTCGTAAATGATGCGCGTCGAACAATTGATATCTTCCAACACCCATTTCTCCGTAACGCAGTGATACCGACTAGGAGCATCGTTTTATTTAACGGCTGAATGAGTAACAGCGGAAAATTATGACGTCTGAAATAGCACAGCGATGTTAATCTATCTTAGGAATTATCTTTGGTTTAAAATATTTTCAAAATATTAAATTTCAAGCTTCCAAAATGAAACGCCAATTTTGTCTTACTTAACGAAAAATTTATTAGAAATAACAACAAGAAATTGTAGTTGAGTTGAAATGAAAATTCCTATAAAGTCCATTACATTTCATATTACTTACACACATCTTAAAAAGCTGATTGTAAAATTACTTTTGTAAAAATAAACACGTAGGGTGTGGCCAGTATAAACGAAAATAACGTGAGCAGAGAGCTAAAGACGCGTCCAAGAGAGGACGAGGAAGACATGGAGACGTTAAGAAAACAAGGAAGCAAACTGTTGGCAAGAGGTAGAATCCTTTGGGATCGTTAAGCAAAGGAAGAACGTCTGGTATGTTCTTCGCGACTCTTCCTTCTCTCAGCATCCTCCATATTTTTGCTTTGCCCTTTACCTCTCTTCTCTTCGGCATGAAGATCGAAGCCTGCTTTACGAGGCAGTCTTGTAAGTCGATCGTGATGCCTCGATAGTGCACGTACTTGAATGTGTGTGTGCTTGTGCGTTTGTGAATATGTGAGGCGTGTATAGAATATTATGGCGTGACATCGCGAACGTAAAATCGCCTCTTCCTCGACTCGAACAGTACTAACGAAAAAAAAATATAAAGGTGAATCGCGGTAAATCTCTACGAGCTGCCAGTTGTCGTCGTGCAGGGTGGTCCCCGTTTCGAAGATTCTTCTTTGCACGTGCTTGACAATGTCTACTTTTTAAAAAATATACGTCTTCTGTTATTCGGCTTTCATGCGACGCATTCGTTACCTCTGCTATTGTAGTCGGAATATAATCGCGAAAAAAGTAATATATCCATTCACTCTACTTTTATTTTGGGATAGTATATTATTAAAAATTTATTACACATACGCGAGATATAGAATTGGTACCAATTAGAGGATTAAATAAATGAATTTTCTAACGAACATATCGACACTGAAAAAAAAAGATTGGCTGCTGCAGCAAATTAGATGGTAAAATATGGCATAGCATTTTTAATTGGCTGTAGCAACCAATTTTTCGTTGCTACAGCCAATTTTTTGTTGCATTAGCCTATCCGCAATGTCAGTATAGGATTTCAAGAGGCCAATCCAGCTAGAGATGTAAAAAAACGATATTTTTTACTTCGGAAAAAAGTATCAAGTAAAAAACGGTATTTTTGACCAAATTACGTAAAATTCATGAAAAATCTTAGAATTCATGTTAAAGATGTAGAAGAAGAAATAGAATTAATTTTTTTTACTTCGATATTTTTTAATATTTTTGTCTTTATAATTTTATATCGAAGCGGAAATATGTATTATTGGCTGTTGCAATTCTTGATAAGTTGATGATAATAGGTTAAGAGTCTGTTTGCGTTGCTTGCACTCTTTGCACTCAGCATCTGTGCTTTCTTTTTTTTCAACGCCCGAATCTATTTTTCTAATCATATCACTTTAAGTGCAAAAATTTTGGAGGATGTCAAGCAATGCGAACATAAATGACCTAAAAAAAATATCCGAATAAAAAACTGTCAAAGTCGAAGGAAAAAAACTATTAATTTCCGAATTTTTTATCCTAAAATTCTGATATTTTTCCGTTGTTTACATCTCTAAACTCAATCAAAAATTGACTGTTGCAACCAATTAAAAATGCTATACCATATTCATGTCATCTAATTTGCTGCAGCAGCCAATCCTTTTTTTCAGTGTAAAAATAATTAAATAACTTAACAAAATGATACACGATTATTGCTGTCACGCGATTTCTTCCGGTCTAATTATTGACATTTCGTGCTGTCGATGCTGAATTTTACCAATACCTGAAGGGACTTCTAAGAAAAATTCCGTGTCTAGGTCGTATTATCCTAGGTTGAATTACGAGTTGCTGCCGATAAGCATATGAGAGGAAAAAGAAAGCGCTTTCGACACGCTCGATTCGGTAATTATGACACCTCGCGCCGACTTTTCGCACCTGTCGTGTACCGGTTTCTCACCTCCCAGGTTGAGGATCGAAAGTCTATGGTTATACAGGCACACTATTGTAGTTGTTCATAATATCTAGTCCCCTTAAATTTCTTGATTTTTGCCGGAAAAATATTTTATTTAAAGGAGAGAATGAAGGATATGGAATGTTTAGATTAATGATTTTAATATGATCGAAAAATTTGAGGAACATTTGTGTAAAGTTGAGATATTTTTAATAAAATCTTTACAACATTTTCCTACAATGTTTTCGAGCTCACTTGGATAATTCGTGTCTCGTTATGTGTTGCAGATTTAACGGAGACCAGTATGTTTCGACAAGAGGGGGTCACGACTTATTCTCAGCTGCTTTTCGACGTGGCGCGACAGCAAGTCGTTGTCGGAGCACGGTACGTATTTTCGTGCTGCAAGCTTGTCTTCAATTATCGAGTTAATCCTCTCGTTTCCAGGACAACTGTTGCTATATTAACGTCACTTAATTTAAAAAATTACATAAATACTTGTACAAAGTTACTCTTCGGCTATCTTGATTGAATATAAATAATGTGAATATATTAATATAATCTGATAAAATACACAGAAATTCGAAAAATTGTACAAAATTAAATCGACTATGTATTATTAGAAATGATGTTTAATTTAAATAAAGAGACATCTAGTCTTATTTAATATTCGAAGATAAATTAGAAAAATAAGGTCAAAATAATTTGTAAAATGCACGCTCTTGAAATTGCACGTTTCGATGTAATACTAAAAAATTGCTAACGAACTCGCTGGAAATCCAACCTTTCGTGATGAAATCGAAACTGTTACGAGTATTGTAGATGTTGGAACAACGATGTAGTCTTTAATCCGATAAATATCACTATCGGATAGCCAATAGTCTTTTCGATAATAACGAGTTTTAGAAAGCGTTTCGTTTTGAGATCAGAATTTAATGAGAAAATATTCTCGACCTACTGGCTTTGGTAAATATTATCTCTCACTCATGAAAAAAAAAGTTCAATCATGCATGTGAGTGTCACATTTTGGCACAATAATCACGATTTCACACTTCAGATTAACATATCAAAAACTAATGGTGCCTGCAGTCGATTTCTATGTTGTTCTAAATGAGTTTGAAACTTGTAACAACAAAATTGAATCTCACAATCGTCTTCCAGTGATCAGAATATTCTAATTATTTCAAAGCTTATCTGCTTCACTTAGGATCAATTTCACCAACATTTTATAAGAATATACATTATCTTCTTTTCAAAAATCAAAATTATCTTTCATTAATGAAAATTAGAAAGGAGCACATAGTCAATTCTACATATTTTAAAATATTGCGAAAAAACGATAACGAAATTTATTGCATTTACAATGATACATTTTGTAAATATGTCAATAAATACGAAAAATCGGATTTCCTTTAAGGTATAAAACTCGAGTTGAAGAACCTTTCGATTCAATCCTTTCACGCAAAGACTACTGGAAATAAACGCTGAGCGAATGTGGCGAATGTAAATAAAGGCGAAGGGGTAAACGATTTCGCGAGACGAGCGCATTATAGGACGACGACGTGACGCTTTTTGGCGACGTCACAGACAGTTACAGACCCGTGGAAGACGATAAACACGCTTGCTCCTTTCGTTCGCGACAGTTTCCAGCGAGATGTCCTGGCGGTCCGCCAAATTGGCTGACATACGGCGGTCTTCCCGAGGCGCCGATCCATTTTCACGACTTGCGCCAGACGAGCCGGCTCGGTTGATCTCCTCGTCTTGCAACGTGATTCACCGAAAGAACGGGAGGAAAAAAATAACGGCGTGTCTCTCGTTGTCGCTCTTTACATCGGCGAACGGCCGCGCTTCGTTACGAAGTCGGTCGCTCGCCTACGTGCCGCTCATTAACCGAGGACTGCACCGAAAAAGCCGAATCGCCGACTCATGCACATAAGCATTACAAGCCTGATCGCGCAATGCCGCTTAAATTGCCAGGACTAATTGCTGCGACGAATTTTGCAATCTTCTTACTTAACTGTGTTATCGCACCTTTTTACTATTCGACAACCTTACGTTTATTTTAGGGACGCGACAAATTTCTGCAAGTCATCGAAATTGTCGCGTGACAGTCAAAATAATGATATAATACAAAAAGTATTCGAACAGATTTTTTATTAAAAAAAGCCTTATTTGTAGAAAATAAACATTAATTACCAATTTATTAACAATGAATATTCTAATTATTTTATAGCTTATTTGTTCCACGTAGAATCAGTTTTATCAACGTTTTATAAGAGTAATTTAATTCCTCCTTTAGAATCAAATTAAAAAAAATATGATCGATTTACGTTCTGCTCTAATATTAAAAGAGAACTTTGCGAAAATAACCGTATTCATGATCACAGAGAAGCTAAATTTCTCGACTGTACAAATATTTTTGTGCATATCCAAATAATACAATTTTTTATTTTCGTTCGTTATTAAGATAATATATTTTAATTATTGCACATTATATTTTAATTAAAATAATTTAAAGAAATATACAATCTATTCTATTCTTTCTTAATAAACTGCTAATTATACAATGTTTACTTTCTAAAAATATTTTTAATATCTTTCCTGTAGAAATATTTTTCGCACTCACAATATTTTTTTTGGTCCTCGAAACGCTACACGTTTTATCCCTTAGCTTATATTTGGAATCTTAATTGACAAAATAGCACACGAGGCAATATCGATAAATAACAGATGAATTTCGTCTCTGATTTTGCGATACCTACTGCAGCTTATTATATCTGATTAAATTACGCTCCGTGTGGAATATCGGATTTTACGGCAAGGCGAGAGGGAATTACGACGACGAAATTGCTTCTGAAAATCATTGCCAGTGCAGTACGTGCTCTCGGTTAGGCAAATCGTATTTCGCGCGATTCATTTACTCACGGTGAGATCAAATGGTGTGGGCACGAAACGTGTCCGCCGTGCCGTGGCCGCACCGGTCGCGCTCACGCTCGTTACAACGCGTTAGGGCGAATCATTCTTGCACGGAACTATGTTCGGAACGACTTATATGTGATATACAAATTATAGGCTATCTTGCAAAGGCGAGACGAATGGCGCTTCTAGGGTGACTGGGAACTTTTTTACAACACTTTCTCTAGCCGATAAGCACTGCCTCATTATAAGCAGGAAATAACGCTTGATGTATTCGATGTAAAAATAGAGAAATAGAAAACGGAAGAAAAAGAGAATAGGCACGTTGACTGACGCGCATATCAAGTAGACGATTACTTGTCTCACGAAATAGCGTCTTAACGCCTGTTATTGATAATAGGGAGTTTTTGCAATAACGTGAATTCAGATACGGTGAACGCTAAAGTCATGTTATTCTTTTCTTAATTAGTTGTTAAGAAGAAGATAACCTGATCTTAGCGTTCACCGTGTCTAGATAAACGGTATTGCAAAAACTCCCTAATATTTGTATATACAACTTTATAATGAGCGACGAATGACCTGAGAATGGAACCGGAAAACGGTGGCGACGTAATTTCGCCGTTTTGCGAGCGATCGAGAACCAGTTTACGTAGAAGCTCCAGTTAGTGAAATAATAACAGTTACGGGAATAATTACCGATTATTATCTCAATAGACAGCTTTGTCCAAGGAAACGCGCGAAGGGAAACTTGATAGTGCGATTTCAGACTTTAGTGCCTCGAAGTACATCACGTTTACCAATCCATACCCTTGAGCTTAGTTCTGAGATATCAATAAATATCGAGATACTTGGATGACTAGTTCCTCGAGATTGGTTGACCTTATCTATATCTCGGCGATTGACAATAAATTAAGTGGTTAATATAAGTTAAGTGGTTAATATGTGGTCACACCTGAGAACAGAAACAACGGAACGTAAAACTTGAAGTGCTTGCTTTATAATTGAGAATGTTGATTTTTTTTCTTTTAAATTTTTACTTATTTTTAAATATAACATGCGAGGTATGACAATATGATTTATAACTGCATGCAAATGAAATGTTACCCCGAATTTTAATTTGAAATTTAAACGTTAAAAGGTATTAAAAAGTAAGGAAATTTCTGAGAACCAGAAGAGAACATAAATTTCAGATAATCACCGACCTGCCACGGTCGGATTGCAAGATGACATTCGAGCTGATCAATGGAGCTAAAATTAGCGTTATCGATGTTGTTAACGTTGTGTACGACGTTCAACCGATGCTGGTCGTGAAAAATGCGGTCCACCCACGCGAAGTAAATACGATCTTACATACGTGCACATACGGGTGTCGCGGGATTTGGAGTGCTGGACTTGGGTCGAATAAACGAACGAACGAACGAACGAACGAACGAATGAACGATCGAACGATCGATCGGTCGATCGATCGATCGATCGGTCCGTAGAAAAGGGAATACGCCCCCGTACGCTTTCTATTAATAGAATGTCAGTTATTAACTGCTGCCCACGTTCGTAATCGCGTTCGTGCGGTTTCCAGTAAAGTGCCGAACACGAAAAAATGTACGAAAACGTGCTTAAATTTGTAAACAGGATATTCTAGTGTTTTCTCTAATTTTAATAATTAATTAGGTTCAATTAATTAGTTTAAAATTTTATTTTTCCAGAAATTGAAAAAATTTAAAGTTTACCTGTAAATATATAAGTATCGTTTCGAGTATTAGAAACTTGAGCTCTAAAGAAATGACAAAAGCTAGCTTTAATATTCTATTTTCGCTGGAATCATGGCGAATATATTACTGCTATTATACATCATGTTCATATTTCTATCAAACTTTCTAAATAACGTGCACGCTTCAATCTCTATATTCTATTTATTTATTTATTCGGCTTCCAAGCCTTTTCGTCTTGAAGTTGACGAATCGTGTACTATATGACAGTCTCACGCGGTGTCATCGCGACTCATGGCTCAGTGGTTTCTCACCAGGAGATTTATCATAGGGAGAAAATATTTCTGTGGCGTGAGTTTATTTTGTCCGGACGGAACGACGACAACAGAATGTATGGCGCAAATAAAAGTGGTAAATAAAAGTTTTTGGGTTTACGCGCGTGAGATTACTCGCTAGTCGGCCGCAGGTGTTAGGAATTTCATACATCGCCGCCAACGTACTCGTATCATATTTACGATGTTGCTCGAAGTGTACGAGGCACGCGAAACTTATCCTGACTCTCCATATCACCAGTTCTCTCTATCTATCGTTTTCATATCGACACTGTGCGAGAAACGTTCACTCGAATATTTTCCTTTCATGATTTAACGAATTGCTGCGTCTAGAATCTGCGACGCTTATCTCTGGATTATTTCTTTATATTTAATATTGGTTAATTTAACTCTCCATCTGCAATCTGGGTCTTTTTTGATATAAACAAAATTT